TCGGCCACATAGAGAGACTGGTGAGATAATTGGTAAGTTGTGTCACTGGCGGCATGGCGCACACCTTATAATTTACAATAAATTGGGTCATTTGGAGCCAGTAAGAGCTGCACTTGCAATTTGAGGCTAGGCAGATGAATTTGCATACAAATGTATTGACATCTAAACAATTAAGAAGGGAGTTGGTGAGTCGTGTGGGTCTTAATTTCCGCTCAGGGGGATGTTTTATGAAAGCAATCAGCAATTTAATTTCACAACTCGGGATAAATAAAGGGGTTCCCCAGCTAGGCCTGACCTGTGTCCCATTGAGCTTCTAGATCGAGGCCCAATGTTAACCTCTCAGTCAAAAAGCAGCTTTTTAGATGCTTACTCAGATAATTTAGACAATATATCTCTGCTTTGGATGCATAAACAGGCCTTATAATTGATTGCCCAATGAGACTTGCAGGGTAATGTCTTATTTGTTGTTTTGTCGTGGTGTTTATTCAATATAAATAAACATGTACGCATATCACGCTGCGCCTTGGTCCGTCCCGTCTATAAACGATCGTGACAGAAGATCCCACCAAACGAGGACCAAGCAGCGTGTCCAGGAGCAGACAGCCTGGACCTGGGAGGAGATCCTAGACGGTAAGGGATCCTGGACTTGGGAGGAGATTCAGGCCGGGATGGATCGCCGTCCTTGGGAGGAGACAGTAGAGGCGCGGTATAGAGAGGAGCAGCGGCAACGCAGAAGGTGCCGGCCGAGGAAGAAGGCCGAGAGACAGCCCCAAGAAAATGTTTTGGGGGGGCTAAAAGGGTAGTTGGCGGAGCCTAGTGTTAGAGCAGAGCCAACTCCCCGTACTCACGCGAGGAAGCGTGTGACTGGGCAGGCTCCGTGTTATGCGGAGCTACGTACTGTGTCGCCAGTGTTCCGGCACAGTCCTGTACGTCCTGTGCTAGCGAAGATGGGCATTCAGCCAGGACGGGGTGTGCCGGCTCAACGCTCCTGGTCTCCAGTACGCCTCCTCGGTCCCGCGCTGGTTCTACGAGCTGTATCACCAGTGAGCGTGCACAGCCCAGTGCGTCCTGTGCCAGCGCCCCGCATGTGTAGTGCGAAAGTGGGCAGCCAGCCAGGACGGGTTGTGCCAGCTCTCCGCTCCAGACCTCCAGTCCGCCTTCGCAGTCTGGTCCGGCCTGTACCTGCTCCTCGCACCAAGCCAGTGGTGTGCGTCGACAGCCCGGTTCGGCCTGTTCCTGCTCCTCGCACCAAGCCAGTGGTGCGCGTCGCCAGCCCGGCCCGGCCTGTTCCTGCTTCTCACACCAAGCCAGTGGTGCGCGTCGCCAGCCTGGTCCGGCCTGTTCCTGCTCCTCGCACCAAGCCAGTGGTGCGCGTCGCCAGCCCGGCCCGGACTGTTCCTGTCCCCCGCACCAAGCCAGTGGTGCGCGTCGCCAGCCCGGTCCGGCCTGTTCCTGCTCCTCGCACCAAGCCAGTGGTGCGTGTGTCCAGTCCGGCACGGCCCGTGCCTGTCCCACCGGTGCCTGGTCCGGCACCGGTCAGCTGCTCCACTCCGGAGCCAGAGTAGTCCGCTCCACCGGTGCCCAGTTCAGCTCCGGTCAGCTGCTCCACTCCGGAGCCAGAGCAATCCGCTCCACCGGGGTCCAGTCCAGCTCCGGTCAGTGGCTCCACTCCGGAGCCAGAGCAGTCCGCTCCACCGGTGCCTGATCCAGCTCCGGTCAGCGGCTCCACTCCGGAGCCAGAGCAGTTCGATCCACCGTCGTCGGGTCCAGCTCCAGTCAGCGGTTCCAGTCCAGACCCAGACGTCAGCCCCTCTCCAGGTTCGGGGTCTCCCACACCAGGGTCCAGACAGGGCTTGGTACTTCATGGGAGGAAGGAGAGGGGAAGCAGCGCGCCGAGGTCCAGACCAGACCAGGGGCGCAACAGGGAGGTGGAGAGTAAGTGGTGGTCACGCCCATTACATTTTAGTCATTTAGCAGACGCTCTTATCCAGAGCGACTTACAGTTAGTGAATACATATATATTTTTTTTATACTGGCCCCCCGTGGGAATCGAACCCACAACCCTGGCGTTGCAAACGCCATGCTCTATCAACTGAGCTACATCCCTGCCGGCCATTCCCTCCCCTACCCTGGACGACGCTGGGCCAATTGTGCGCCGCCCATGAGTCTCCCGGTCGCGGCCGGCTGCGACAGAGCCTGGATTCGAACCAGGATCTCTAGTGGCACAGTTAGCACTGCGATGCAGTGCTTTAGACCACTGCGCCACTCAGGAGACATTTCATTTGTTGTTTTGTCGTGGTGTTTATTCAATATAAATAAACATGTACGCATATCACGCTGCGCCTTGGTCCGTCCCGTCTATAAACGATCGTGACATAGACAAGGCCCTGATCTGCCAAGGTCTAAAAAAAAAATCCTTACACAACTTCATGTGATTGAGTTCTATGTGTTAACAAAATCTGTGATATAGTTATGTTGTAACTTTAATTTAGACACCAATAGTGAGTAATTACTTTTTCCACAGGTACATTTTATTTGATGTTGTAAGAATAGTCTATTTAGTAGGGCTGTCAAACGATTAAAAAAAAATAATCGAGTTAATCGCAGCATTTGCTTGCAATTACTCACAAATTCCAAATTTGCTCAAGGTGAGCTGTAATTTAAGAATTTTCATACAAAGAACATTATAAGAATATTGACTTTTTGACTTTGTCAATTAGGTAAATTGAGAAAGCACAACTTTCTCTAACCTCAATTTCAATTATATTTACATGGCAATGTAGATTTTAGCTGTATAGATTATGCATGAAAAAATTGTGTGCACAATTATTTTTTTTAATTAACTGATTGACTCTGACAGCCCTACTAATTACCTGTGATAACACAGTAACAATACTTTTTTACTGAGTTACAGTTAATATAAGGAAATCAGTCCATTGAAAAAAATTAATTAGGCCCTAATCTATGGATTTCACATGGCTGGGCAGGGGCGCAGCCATGGATGGGCCTGGGAAGGCATAGGCCCACCCACTGTGGAGCCAGGCCCAGCCAATCAAAATGAGTTTTTCCCCACAAAAGGGCTTTATTACAGACAGAAATACTTTGTGCACATCATTTGAGAGAAATAAGATTTTTGTGCGTATTGAACATTTCTAGGATCTTCTATTTCAGCTCATGAAACATGGGACCAACACTTTACATGTTGCATTTATATTTTTGTTCAGTGTAGTTAGTGTGTAGGCCTAAGGGTATACTGTAGGTATATCTTGTGTCTCCCACATCCCGGATGAGTCCCTAAATAGGCACTATGTGGGAAGAGTTTAAGGATGTTTCTTAGACACACGTTTGACTGAAACCCAGTCTTATTTTGTACAGCACCTTTAAAGTGCTTTAAATTATATATTGGCAATCAATGTGCATTCAACAGATGAGTTAATCAACTGAGCATTGCAACTCTATTCCAGGAACCTGCAACAATGGTATTGAAACCATATGTGTTTCAGTTAAATGTCTGGCTTTTTATAGCCGTATAACTTGGAACTGTAACAAAAATATTTTAATATTTCTTAGATTTAACGAGGTGATAGGTGTTTTTGCTACTACCATTACCACAGCTGTATATAAACATGAATGTAATATACTAGCTGCCTTTCAGCTGATTGTCACCTATTTGTATTTGAGTATTTGTTCATGACAAACCATTTGCCAAATGGGAAATCAGAAAAGAAACTGACATTTTGCTTTGTAATGCTGCAAATGTTTAATAAAAATCCCCAAATACCTCATTTTTGGCTAAAGAAAAACTTCAAACAAGTTGCTCATTGACAGCAATAAAGGGAAATGTCTGAACGTTCATCTTCCTCCCCTTGATTACTCCACTTCAATCCAGTGCACCCACTGCATACTAATTTCCCCCTAAGGGTCTGTATCTAAACTTAGGACAAGTTATTTTGCTACACTAAAGCCTGTCTGGCTCTTACTATAGTGGGCATGTTCCACTGGCTGAACCCAATTTAGCCTCCTCAGCCCTATCAATACAAAAGTGGGCTAGCAAATACATTAATAAATATTGAGCTGTGGTAATCTGGAGGAAAGTTGCTTGACCTCCATGCTCATCGCCGACTGTATGGAGTATTACATGGATTTAGGACTCGGGGTGAGGAGGGGATTAGGGTAATTACAGTTATTATATTCTAAATGTAAAGACTATCTGGGGCCTAAGCGGCCTCATGTCAGTTTTTGACAGATAAATTTAAAACATTTTCTTCTGACATGACCCAAGTGATTGATCCCATCCCCCTGTGTTCTCCGCCTCCTCTTCTTCCAGAAGACACTTTTTTTTTGTCATTTAGCAGACGCTCTTATCCAGAGCGACTTACAGAACCAATTTAGGTTTAAGTGCCTTGCTCAAAGGGCACAGCAACATATTTTTCACCTAGTCAGCTCAGGGATTCGAACCAGCGACCTTTCGGTTACTGGCCCAACGCTCTTAAACTACTTGCTGCCTGAACGGTTTGTTTAATGCCCAATGGGGATTAAGGGTTTCTGTACCAGTGGGAATAACACTTTGTACCTGTCCAGGAAGGTATGATTCCAGTGGTGGGGGTACATTTCCTCTCTCTCTGGGAGAAGAGCTGGTGGCAGCAGCTACCCCCATGGGCCTTCCTTTGCACTGGGGACGTGGGGGAACGCCCGCGCTGTAAACCTGATGAAATCCCCCGATACTGATCCCTTATGAGATGGTAACTGGGTCTGTGATGTTGTTTACTGCTGAGCTAGACATCTTCACCCTGAGAAGCTTCATGCACTCCAAAGCTTCCGTAATATACCTAACACATATTAGATTCTAAATAAACAAATCTGCCATCCGTGACACTTGACACACAGGCAGTGGAATACCCAAGGAATATCAACACACTTAAAGGCAGCTAAATTCACAATGTCACAAAATGCAATTTACCAGTATTGTGTGCAGAAGAAATGAGATGTTGCTTACCGTGAGCGGGATCGGGTGGTCCGAACTCCAGATTATATCTCAGGATGTAAAAATTATTCCACACGTATAGCTGGTTATCTCTGGGATTGTAATCCACAGCTGCGATATACTGATACTGGTTGGGAAAGTGGATATCCACATACTCTCCACGGTTCTGTTTGGTATTGTAAACATAATCTATCAAGCTTTTGCTAATTTCACTCTCGTTATCTTCATATGTGGACCTCACTACGTAGAGTACTCCACAGATCATGAAGGCATTGGAGGCAGATCGCTTGTCGTACGTCGTCTCCCAGGTGGCCTCGAAGCGCAGTGTGTAAGGGTTCAACTGGCTGATAACCATCATGCCATTGTTCTGCTCTGTGGCGTAGATCACCCACAGGCCGTTCTCATCCACGGCCAGGTCGATGTCAGTTTTTCCGCCCCACTTGTAGGGTGACGTGTCGTGATAGTTGGCGTTATTGATGATGGCCTCGCCGCTTTTGATTCGGGTCCGTATGTCAAACTTTACAATGTTGCGGGTCCTCTCCTTGTTGAAAAACACGGCCCCGTCGTAGACCACAAATCCAGTGCCATCCACCCGGTGGGGGAGCTTGTACGTGATGGTTTGCCGGGCGTTTTGGAAGTCGTCGAGGGAAGAGTACTCAATGAGTGTGTCTGTCCGGTAAGGAGTCCAAGGCATGAAGTAGATTTTGTCACCGGCTTGTAGAGGGTCTTTGCACCATGACCCGGCTTGCTGCTCCGCTTCAAAGAGAAAGGAAGGATCTCCGACAGCTTTCAGAGTCCCAGGACAAACAAAAACTAGTGATGGGGGAAGAGTAAAATAAGAAACAGATTTAAGTCAACACATCCAAGTGAAACACATCAAAATAGCAAAAGACAATGTCAAGATATCTCTATTTTCTCCATTTTGTTTTACGGGTTGTCCAAAAAGAGAGTGGGTCAAACACACATTAAAGTGGCCAAAAGACAACTACAGCTATAACCAATGTTCACAAGCAGTATAGGGAGTTTGGTTTTGTGCATAGAAAGAAAAAAAGGAATAGGAAAGTTGTTAAGCAAATGTATAGTATATGAAGTAATAACGTAACTTTCTGAAACAAAAGAAGCCTTGCCTCTTAGACATCTACTGTAGGGGAATAGAAAACAAATGAGGGGGAGAATAGAACAGAACAAAAACCAAACAAAAATCCTGTAAACAAAAAAGCAGCCAACTAAAGTCATTTGGCAACAGACGGGAGGTTTCAATCGAGAGCAGGATTCAGCAGGTCTGAAAATGTGTATTCTGAGACATTTGCCACTTACACCACTCTTTTTACCATATACCTGAGAGGTTTGTTGTTGTGACAAAATGTTGCAAATGTCCTAACCATTAAAGTTACAAGGGAGCGTGTTCTTGAGGTGTTTTGTTGTTGCTCTGAGTATGGGCAAAAGAATCAAAGGAGAGAAGAGCAGCAAGTGGCAGGATACGGGATAAGGGATAAGGGGGAAGGGATAAGGGGGAAGAGGGCGCTAAGAGAGAAAAAGACAGTAGAAGCAATAGATTTCAAAGGGCCAGAAAACACTGTTACCATGGCATGCTATGGTGAGGGGTTTGGAAGCCAGGCAATATGAGATTGTGCTGAGTAGCAAAAGCACCCAGGGGGATGGGGGAAGAAACCCCTATGGACTCCAGCTACTACACTCTGCACTTACAGCTGTACTGCTGCTAGTGTTTTATCATCTTTTTTCTTTAATCAGTCTCACTCCCATCGTTGCAGTTTACTGACCGTTACTGTTATATGGGGACCGTTTTTGTTGCTATTGCCTGCTATGGGGTTGGCACACCGTAGTGGGGATAGGAAGGTTTACAACCATATGCCACAAAACAAGGAGCTAGGGTTTGGATTGTGTCAGTTATTTACCTTTTTGCTCCACTTCTATTTTAAGCATTGGAAGAGAGAATGAAAGGGGTGCAAGGAAAAAAGAGATTAATATGAATTAACTGTCATCTCTATGGTTACATAAGCAGTAACATGTAATGACACATGGACAAAGATAGGTAGACCTATTTTGAGAAAGGAAAGAGAAACAGGAGATACAGTAAACACCATCAGACAGTGCAGATGACCCACTATCTCGAGGGAAAGATTAAGGTTAGGACACCAAGAGAGGTCCAAATGGACAATGTCTGGAGCTTTGGCTAAGTGTTAAGCTTGGTTTATAGAAAGTTGGTCAACCACACTTGGCCACAACAACGTTCATTTTATACTCAGGTCAACTGTCTGTGAGCTGCTAGTGCGACTACTGTTGTCACTTTTGAGAACAAATACAGTATTTTGACTTTTGATATATCTGGTTGTAACCTTAATGTGAAGATTAAAATAATATTTTTGAACATCAGATGATAAAATAATGTTAATGACATTGCTGTGATTTTTGATGAACAGCAATTGACCAACAAACTATACACCAAGTAACTCTGGTGCTAACAGAGTAAATTATTCATATCATATGTCTATCAAATATTTCCACAAAAAAAAACTCAAATTATATCAATTTACAGTATAACCCTATTGAAAGGGATCTGAGTCCCATAAAAGAGGAATCTGTACATTGTGCTTTTAAAAACAATCTGATCACCAGGGTCGTGTTCAGTAGGCACAAACTGGATTTTCTTTTTACTGAAACAGTGTGGGGCTACCTGGACATTAGTAACATTAATGAGAAACATTCATTTTCGTTTTCCGTTTCAAAACGTTTTAAAACATTTTCAGTTGCATGCTGTAATGGACACGACCCAGGTAAACAACACAAATACCAAACACAACCCTTTGTTTGTGCTAGCAATAAACAATACAGTACTAGTTATAGAATTTGTGTAATGAAACCAGAGGTCTAAAATAAGTCCTATAATGGTAATTAACAGTTAAACAGTTTGGTTCAAAAATAGAGCCTGCAGTTCACAGTTTATTGTATGATATTGCAGTGATCCAACCTTTATAGATGTTTCAAGGCCTATTTCAATAGTTACAGATTGATATAGAATCTATGATACACTGTAAGTTGGTGATTTAATATTTTTGCACCAAGGCTTCCGGCACCTGCTGAGTATGACTTTAGGCAGCACAGGTGCAAACAAAAACAAACCCTGAAGCATCTGCTGACATTTGTGGTTTATTTCCCCTGTCTCCATTGAGGAAGTAGATCAGTTAAAATAACTACTAAAAGTAGTGTAGCAGTGTTTTGACATTTACCATGCATTAAGTTGCAAAGTAAACATTGCACTTAATTATTTGTGTAGATTGAGGTTAAAGATAATAGTGCCATTTGATTTTTGGATTGACAGTGGATTGACTCACTTAGGCATTGTACTGTACAAATAACATCCTCAGAGTTGCACTGTATCCTGGAAAACTTGAGATGTGAATTGTTAGTTCATCGATCTGAAAATCTTATTGAATGAAACACAAGAATGCAAACCAAAATGTGGAAATAGTGTTAAGTGTTACATACAGTGATCTGTTTTCATATAAAGACTGCCTATTAGTACTCTAAAGCAAGAATATAATATAGATTCAATGAGCTGTTAGTTTTTCACAATGGGACATTGAGTAGCAAAACCAATCAATATCAATAGCAAAGATTTCATGAGGCTGTCAATTTAATCAGATAGAATACAAAGATGCTTTTACATTACAATACATCATATTTTACTGTTCTACAATATATCTCTCAAGTATGTAGAAAGGAGAGTGAAAAGAGAGAAAGAGTGAGAGGCATGAGTATGCCCTCCACTCTGCAAAAATGCAAGTGATTCAAGTGCGAGGAAGGCAGGGTTAAGAATGAGCAGAGTTCTGGCTACCTACAAGATTAAACGGCAGAGATGTAAACAAATTAACAGACAGCAGAAATGTTCAGACACAGCCAGCTAGATAAAAAGAGAAGAAGACGGAAATCTGAAAAAGGAGAAGAGACAAGATGGAAGACCTGAGCAGACATTAGTGTAAAAGTAAAAAGGTCATCAGAAACTGGTCAGTAGAGGAACATAATGACAGTCAGGGAGCCAAGGAAGTCTCCTGCAGATTGCACAAGGGAAGAAGAGAAGTGAATAACATTTTAAAGAGCAGCATTACAAAAACAAGATAGCACCAAAACCCTGCTATCATTATCACCAAACATATGAGACTATTTTAAGGTATGCACCTATATAAAACATGAATGTTCTATCTTTATTTAATCATTACTCTACTTTAACCTTGACTAAGAACAAAACCTCTCTATTTGCTTTAGTCAGAGGCTCCTTTGATTTGCATGTAATGTACTTTCTGGTGTGGCTAGACTGATGTATTGGCTGCACTCCATGGCCTCAGAAGCCTGCTGACCACTAAATAGACTCAATCAGTGGCTCCAGTCTCATCCAGGGGGAAATAAATTAAATTGTGGAATAATGCAAACTCTAAATAATATAAATGAGCAAAGCAAACTATGCTACTAATGTCAGCAAATGTAAAGAGTAAAGTTCTCAAATTTAAATGTGATGGAACATAAGCTGAAGCATTTTGCCTATTTTCTTTGCCTGAAAAAAATAATTATCTGTCTGTTTCTATATTGTACAGTTTTGGACAATAGCTATGATAGCAGACGATGACATAAAACTAAATTAGGTCTGACTGCTTTGGAATCCTGTTAACATATGTTTGCATGCCTCTGCATTTTTATAAGGTGCCGTAGCAACAGCCGTGGTGTTAATGAAGACTTGTATGTCACTTTTATATCGCCCCGGCAATTAACGCAGGCAATTCAGAGGGCTACTAGATGCCAGGTGAAGGCCCAACCCACATCCATGGCCTAAACAAAGAGATAATGGGGCCTAATGAGGATAGCTCTTGACATGAACCAAATAAGAACAAGCGGTAGACTGTGGAAATAGAGGTTAGATATAACCAGATATTTTAACCATACAGATGGTGGAAATATAGGTTTTTGTTGGTATGGGCAACTTTGAAAGATCCAAGACGTATCGAAGATGGCCCAGTTTGATTTGAATGCTTGGACAAGAGAAATGAATAAATTACACAGCATATTACATCAAGCCAGTGGTAAAGGTAAAATGTGTTGGATATATTCTGATATAAGATTGTCAGTTATGTTGCAGAGGCTCTAGAAGCCTTGTTTTAGTCTAGAATGGTGATGGATATGTCTACTGATAGGTCTTCACTCATCTCACTTGTTGATTGGCTTAATAGGGATTTAATATGTTGACTTGAAAAATATATTTCCTAGGACCTCTCTAAGGGCCATATTTATTAAGAGTTTGAACCAGGGCAAGGTTTTTAATCATAATATCTTCATGTTCACCATATGATTTACTCCCTCTGGTAAAAGTGGTAATATCTCTACACTTATGCAGAAGCTTACAAAATATTGCCCAGTGAAGGCAATTCTTTGCTCGAGACAGATCTGATAGAGGGTCTTAGGGGTAGTCACCTTGTCACTGGTAGGGTGCTTGTGTGAGGAAAGACAAGGGGTTGGTGGGGGGAAACAAAACCAAACACAGCACTGCCCCATGGAACACAGTCTACAACAACACAGGGTGGTCTAGCTGGGGTGGGTGGGTGGTAAAAGGGCTGAACTGGGGGGGGGGGGGGGGGGGGGGGGGGGGGGGGGACACTAAGAACTTACCAGGGCAGTTGCTATACGACACATTCTGTATCCTCGGTCCTATTTTGGGCGGACATGGACCTTTACGGAAATTAAGAAGCAAAAACATGGCGCTACATGCATGGACTCTATGGATCAACCAAAGAGTGTAGAGAGGGTCTGCTTGGGATCTTTTACAAAAATCTACCTATAGCTGGGATTCAATGACCTCGTAGTTCCTTTGACATGTTCCGAGGGAAGTTTGTCTGCTTCCTTGGCACAAGAAGGGGCAGGAACCCCCTGAAAAATATTGAGGGTGTACAGTATGTGATGAATGCCAGGGTGTCTAGGTGGACCTTGGGGCTAATCCTATGATTAAGGTCTCAAGCAAAACAGCAAGAGATGGATCGATAGTTCCCTATAACTTTGAGACAAGGAGAGCAAGATCCCGAAAAACAATACCGGGAGAGGGATTTTCAGCTAAAAATAATGAATTATGCTGTGCTTTCGTAGTTTAATCCTATTACTCATTATTACATAGTTCATTAATAATTTTGGGTCTTAAAACCTTGGAGAGGTCAACCTTTACCTTGTAATGTGGTTTATATTCTAATGTTGTTCACTCAGCTATTCAGATGAACATTCTATGGAGAATAGTTAGAGCAGGAACACTGGCTTTTGGTCGTATAGACTATAGACTATAATTATTCCAGATGCTCTCAGATAGTCTGGAATAATTTGATTAAGTGGTAAAATCTACACGATGTGCATGTTAGTATGTTGAGCTCACAAACACATTAACAGCTAGAATATATTTGTAAGCAGCTAGTAGAGGTGGATCATGATCAAATCATTTACGTTTTAGTTCAAGGGAAAATCCACTCAAAAACTATCTTTTAAGTATTTTTTTCATTAGTCCACTGTTGATAGAGTCCCAAAATGTTTTGCATGTCAGCAGTCAAGTTTTCAAGATATTGGACTTTCAAGAAGCAAAGTGTCAACGGCCACATCATCATGACTGTATCAACATACCAAAATATCATTTTGTAGTGGATTTTCCCTTTCTTTTGAATTCCTGGCAATTAATTGTACTTGCATATCAACAACATTATTAGGCCAAGGTTCAGACAAGAGGTATCTATAGACTATAGATTATTTTGGAGCTAAGTCACAGTGAATATTTTAGCATCCAAGTGACAAGAGACAAATGTTAATCATATAATTTAGCATGTAACATTGTTGAATGATATAATTGGAGGCATTCTGTTTTCCTTCATACGAAACATCTGTTTACAGATCTCAACACCTGTTGTTCAGAAACTGCATAGAACCATTGCAATGAGCAGTGGTGATTATTTTGCTGATATCAATCCTAGGTCTGCATCCCAAAGTGCACCCTATTCCCTATATACTGTAGTGCACTACTTTTGACCAGAGTGCTATGGAGCCCTGGTCAAAAGTAGTGTACAAGAAAGGGAATAGGGTGTCATTTCGGAGACATATTAAGATTGTTGTATCTGAGGGATGAATAGACCACACCTTTTATTGTATTATTTTAATATAGCCCTCCACTAACATCGTCATATATTTAAAACGTACCTCAACACGGTCCATTGACAAATGGTGTAGAGATGAAAAAATGTATATAGATCCTCCCTAGGAACCAATACTTTTGCAAATAATTTGAATTTATCTTACGTTAGAGTGTACAGAGAGATACACTACCGGTCAAAAGTTTTAGAAAACCTATTCATTCAAGGGTTTTTCTTTATTTTCTTTCTACATTGTGGAATAATAGTGAAGACATCAAAACTATGAAATAACACATATGGAATCATGTAGTGACCAAAATAGTGTTAAACAAATCAAAATATATTTTATATTTGAGATTCTTCAAATAGCCACCCTTTGCCTTGATGACAGCATTGCACACTCTTGGTATTCTCTCAACCAGCTTCTTGAGGTAGTCAACTGGAATGCATTTCCGTTAACAGGTGTGCCTTCTTAAAAGTTAATTTGTGGAATTTATTTCCTTCTTAATGCGTTTGAGCCAATGACTTGTGTTGTGACAAGGTAGAGGGGTGTACACAGAAGATAGCCCTATTTGGTAAAAGACCAAGTCCATATTATGGCAAGAACAGCTCAAATAAGCAAAGAGAAACGACAGTCCATCATTACTTTAAGACATGCAGGTCAATACGGAACATATCAAGAACTTTGAAAGTTTTTTCAAGTGCAGTCGCAAAAACCATCAAGCGCTATGATGAAACTGGCTCTCATGAGGACCACCACAGGAATGGAAGACCCAGAGTTACCTCTGCTGCAGAGGATAAGTTCATTAAAGTTACCAGCCTCAGAAATTGCAGCCCAAATAAATGCTTCACAGAGTTCAAGTAACAGACACATCTCAACATCAACTGTTCAGAGGAGACTGTGTGCATCAGGCCTTCATGGTCGAAATGCTGCAAAGAAACCACTACTAAAGGACACCAATAATAAGAAGAGACTTGCTTGGGCCTAGAAACACAAGCAATGGACATTAGACCGGTGGAAATGTGTCCTTTGGTCTGGAGTGCAAATTGGAGATTTTTGGTTCCAACCGCCGTGTCGTTGTTAGATGTGGTGTGGGTGAATGGATGATCTCAGCATGTGTATTTCCCACCGTAAAACATGGAGGAGGTGGTGTTATGGTGTGGGGGTGCTTTGCTGGTGACACTGTCTGTGATTTATTTAGAATTCAAGGCAGACTTAACCATCATGGCTACCACAACATTCTGCAGTGATACGCCATCCCATCTGGTTTGGGCTTAGTGGGACTATATTTTTTTTTCAACAGGACAATGACCCAACATACCTCCAGGTTGTCTAAGGGCTATTTTACCAAGAAGGAGAGTGATGGAGTGCTGCTCAGATGACCTCCACAATCCCCCGACCTCAACCAAATTGAGATGGTTTGGGATGAGTCGGACCACAGAGTGAAGGAAAAGCAGCCAACAAGGGCTCAGCATATGTCATAACTCCTTCAAGACAGTTTGAAAAGCATTCCAGGTGAAGCTGGTTGAGAGAATGCCAAGAGTGTGCAAAGCTGTCATCAAGGCAAAGGGTGGCTATTTGACGAATCTCAAATATAAAATATATTTAGATTTTTTAAACACTTTTTTGGTTACTATATGTGTTATTTCATCGTTTTGATGTCTTCACTATTATTCTACAATGTAGAAAATAGTAAAAATAAAGAAAATAAAGAAAAACCCTTGAATGAGTAGGTGTTCTAAAGCTTTTGACCGGTAGTGTACATTATCAGAGTATATAGAGGGATACAGGGATGGATCGAGGAAGGGAAAGAGAGAAAGTGAGAGAAATAATAGAAAGAGAGGCAGAGAAGAGGGCAGAGAACTGTTAAATGCATGATGGAAAGTTCATACTTACTGTAGGGAACACACTCATACTGGACCTCCAGATATTTGTAGGTTCCTGGACAGGGGTCTGGGAAGACATCAGAACCTGTGATCACTATGCACTGGGTTCGATTGTTGCACCTGGAGGAAAATAAGAGAGAAGCCATTAGTAAAAGGCAGCTTTCCCTAACAATCTTCACACTAGTAATGCAGTACAGTTATTGTTGTTATAATAATCAATAAGTGCAGACAAAGAAAATGGCATCCTATGCTTGGAGCAAATGGCATTGTTCCGTTCCTTGTCAATAGTTAAAACTTGACTTAAAAAGAGGCAAGGAAAAAACGATGTATGCGGATACAACGGTGGCCCTTAAAGACATAAAAACAATTATAAACAATGCAATGACATCCATTCGAAACCACAGACACATACACTGTACATATGCAACCATGAAGCAATAATTGCATTTTTATGAAGATAATGGTATTTTAATAATCAATTTAGCTCTGCTATTCAGTTCTAACAATGTTATACCCAAGGTCAATACATTCTGTTTTGATGCTTGGGCATTGTATACATTACTCAATAACATTGTGTGTTTATATCAGCAGGGGTGGTTGACAATGTAATTGTGTTCACAGTAAAAGGCATATGCAGTACATATACTGTATCTCTCTCCAAAAAAATCTTGATACAGTGGCTTTCGAAACTATTCACCCCCCATGGCATTTTTCCTATTTTGTTGCCTTACAACCTGGAATAAAAATTGATTTTTTGGGGGGTTTGTATCATTTGATTTACACAACATGCCTACCACTTTGAAGATGCAAAATATGTTATATTGTGAAACAATATAAACCACTCGAGTGTTGCTTTAGCAGTATGCTCAACGTCATTGTCCTGCTGGAAGGTGAACCTCCGTCCCAGTCTCAAATCTCTGGAAGACTGAAACAGGTTTCCCTCAAGGATTTCCCTGTATTTAGCGCCATCCATCATTCCTTCAATTCTGACCAGTTTCCCAGTCCCTGCTGATGAAAAACCATGCTTCACTGTGGGGATGGTGTTCTCGGGGTGATGAGAGGTGTTGGGTTTGCGCCACACATAGCGTTTTCCTTTTGGCCAAAAAGCTATATTTTAGTCTCATCTGACCAGAGTACCTTCTTCCATATGTTTGGGGAGTCTCCCACATGCCTTTTGGCGAACACCAAACGTGTTTGCTTATTTTTTTCTTTAAGTAATGGCTTTTTTCTGGCCACTCTTCCGTAAAGCTCAGCTCTGTGGAGTGTACGGCTTAAAGTGGTCCTATGGACAGATACTCCAATCTCCGCTGTGGAGCTTTGTACCTCCTTCAGGGTTATCTTTGGTCTCTTTGTTGCCTCTCTGATTAATGCCCTCCTTGCCTAGTCCGTGAGTTTTGGTGGGTGGCCCTCTCTTGGCAGGTTTGTTGTGATGCCATATTCTTTCAATTTTTTTATAATGGATTTAATAGTGCTCCGTGGGATGTTCAACGTTTTGGATATTTTTTTATAACCCAACCCTGATCTGTACTTCTCCACAACTTTGTCCCTGACCTGTTTGGAGAGCTCCCTGGTCTTCATGGTGCTGCTTGCTTGGTGGTGCCCCTTGCTTAGTGGTGTTGCAGATTCTGGGGCCTTTCAGAACAGGTGTATATATACTGAGATCATGTGACAGATCATTTGACACTTAGATTGCACACAGGTGGACTTTATTTAACTAATTATGTGACTTCTGAAGGTAATTGCTTGCACCAGATCTTTATTTAGGATCTTCATAGCAAAGGGGGTGAATACATATGCACGCGGCACTTTTCCGTTATTAATTTTTTAGAATATTTTGAAACAAGTTATTTTTAAAATTTCACTTCACCAATTTGGACTATTTTGTGTATGTCCATTACATAAAATCCAAATAAAAATCTATTTAAATTACAGGTTGTTATGCAACAAAATAGGAAAAATGCCAAGGGGGATGAATACTTTTGCAAGGCACTGTACGAATCATGATAATTACATCAATACCCTGAGCTGGCCATCTTGCTGATGGAGACTTTGCATTCTATCTGCAGCGCATGGTTCCTAAATCAATAGCCCTGTTCTGGTGATTTAGGGATAACATTTGTTTCTCTTGTCACAAACCAGTGCCCACATTTACAATAGATTATTGGAAATGTATGAGAGTTTGTTGGGTAAATATTTCTTTATTTTGGTTTGACTCTTCCTGCCTTGTTTTAAAATGACATCATCAGTGTTCTGTCATTGACTGTAAGTAAGTAATTAGCATAATCATGCTAGCCTATTGTCAATGGTTACCCTAGATATGCAGTGAATATGTAGACAGACCTTTTTAGATCAAACTTGACAAAATCTTTGTCTTAAGGATCTTTTCCAACTTTCTGCCGAGCAAAATCCACTGACTTGTACAAACAACCCAGTGTTAAAATGAAAAGCCCACTAAATCATGATAACAGTAGGGAGCTGAATTAGCCATTAGATGTTTCCTGACCGGGCCTGAAGGCAATTAATCTCTCTCAAGTCCCCTTTCTTTTTTTCCGCCTTCCCCAGTCAGCATCTATGACAATTAATATAATTCACTACTCTATTTTCTTCAAATACATACAAGGAGCAAATGATTACTTTGTCAAAGGGAAAATGTAATTTGTTTTGCTTTTGGCATTAGTAAAAGCAGTTATAGCTCAGTGTAAAATCCAATTTAGACAGTGTCATGAAACAAAACGCAAGCTGTATATCCACAATGGTCACAGGCGAGAGAGACAAGAGAGAGAGAGAGAGAGAGAGAGAGAGAGAGAGAGAGGAGAGAGAGAGAGAGAGAGAGAGAGGAGAGAGAGGAGAGAGAGAGAGAGAGAGAGAGAGAGAGAGCGCAGCTGATGACTCTCGAGAGCTAGACGATAGCACGAGAATATATGATGAGAGAGATGAGAGGATGAGAGAGAGAGGAGAGAGCAGAGAGAGAGAGAGAGACCAGCAAGGTGTCTCATAAGGGACTTTACTTTATTAATGACCTTCATGTGTGATAACAAATAACAAAATCAGCATATTTGTTTATAGAAATGAATTACAATTATGGAATTAAAACACACCTCATGCTGATCCCTTAATGTAGCGCTTGGCTGTCTTGCAGGTTGCACTTCATGAGTCTGCAGTGTGTCAACATTTTCCATATTTTATGTGGTGACTTTGATGATCCCGTTTTTTTTAAATGCATAAGCATATCATGCAAAACGAATGAATTGCAGCTGGCTCCAACTATAACAAATTGCTGGAAGAATGGAGACTTAATGCCTGGCTTGTAACGTGTATAACTAAATAACATCACAACAAAGATTCATGAATCTAATAAGACGTACAGTAGATCTGTCTAGGTGTATCATGTAGGAAGAAGGAAAGCATTAGACAAAGAAAATATTCACACATATCCCTAACCATATCTCTCAATGTTAGCATTTGCATTGATGGGACATTCAGATATACAGTATTGCCCTAATTTTACAGCTGGAGAGTAGGACCTGGATCTATGGGAGTTTGTGACTTTGTCTCACTTTGAGTCGGTGAACATCTCTTGAGACCAATTGAGAAAGCCTTAATGACTCTACACACAGACCAAAGTCCTAACCTTCAATTTGAGAGAGAGTTTGTAGATCTTCCTATATTATCTCACCTTTTGGGGCTTGTAGTGTAACATTTCTTAACTAAGGATATGTAAATTATGATGTCGTAGGAGTGGAGTTTTAACAATTTGGTATAGAAACTGATTACAATACATTAGACATACATATTACATCTAAAGCCATTGATGTAACATTATGCTGTTGTCACACTATATACAGTCACTTACAATAGGTTGATAAAACAATGTGGATTATTGAAGATTATTTATTGGTGTGCTGTCCATCTCATTTACTATCGACTAGCAGTCACACTTTATTTGGAGAATCCTGATTGTAGATGCTCTACAGATGGTCATACTATCAACAAACTATCTGTTGATAAGCAACTGCTTTCTAAGGTTACGGTTAGGTTTAAAATATGGGTTAGGGTAAGGGTTAAGGTGAGGGTTAGGGTAAGGGTTAAGTTTAGGGTTAGGATAAGGGTTAAGGTTAGGGTTATTAGACAGTTAGTTGAAATGTTACTGATAGTCTGTAGAGCATCTACGGATGGACTATCCAAATAAAGTGTTACCCGACTACCCAACGTAACATGAGTTTGTTCTGTCATTCATTTTCCAATAGCATATCATTAACAGCTAATATCAGAATTGCAATCAAGTTGACCAGGAACATGGGACGAAATTAAACTCCCTTCTACTTTCACATCCTCTGTCTTCCATATAGTGGCTTTGCAATCAGAGCGATAACATTCCAACTCTAATCCCATCACATCCCTGACCTTTTGGGAGAGCCAGACATCAGCACAATTAGATTGTCATAGAACGCTGCACGGATCTGATGCAAATCTACTTTTGAAATGAGCACTTGGGCTGACAGCAGGAAGTGTCTGATAAGATGCCAACAAGGTGTAACTGATAGCTCTCGTGATACCATGTACACACATGGAATTTAACCTTTCACATTTCGATCATAAAGCATGTCAAAGGAATAATTGGACAAAGAGATAAGGGACTAATTGAATAATAAATGAAAATAAAAATGTAATTCGCATTTCCACAAAGAAAAACAGTGGGGTCCGAAATGATTGACACCCTTGATAAAGATGAGCAATAATCACTGTATAAAATAAATAATAAAAATACTGAGCTATATTGTATGAAAAAAATGTTGGGGTAATTATATATATGTTTATAATAATACAATTGCTCAGAGAAAGTAATATGTTTTTTTCTCAAAAAGCTAGTGGCCAAAATGATTGACACCACTAAATTCTTAGAAATAAAGTAGTCAAAGTTTAGTATTTGGTTCCATATTCCTAGCACACAATGACTACATCAATCTTGTGGCTCTACAAACTTGGATGCATTTGCAGTTCATTTTGGTTGTGTTTCAGATTATTTGATGCCCAAAATAAATTAATTCTAAATAGTGTATTCTGTCATTTTGGAGTCATTTTTATTATAAATAAGAATAGAATAACACTTCAAAATTAA